ATCTCTCGTTTGAATGGTCCTTGAGATATGCTGATATTTTAGCCATCTCTGCTAAGTTTGTTACTTTTAATGTCCATTCTTGAGATGAGATTGTTAAAGAGTTTGGAAAATGTTAATTTAATGCTTTTAATCCTTTTGCCATAAGCTGTTAAGTATTAAATTCATTGGAAATACTAACTATGTAGTGTCGCAGGATTTTCCTGTCATGCTCCTTGAAAGTCCGGTGGAAAGATGCAATGGCTTTATCGAATTTTTCTGCATGCCTTCCCAAGAATTCTTTCACATCTTCCATGTTTTTCAAGGAGTAAGAGTTGGATGTCGTCGAGGATGGTTCTGAAAGGGGAAGGCACTTGTCAGCAAACAGAACAAATATCTGCTCCCTCCAAGAATCAGAGGAAAATACACAACAGTGAAATTCATAGACGCAGACATCAAAGGAAGGTTGATAAACTAGGATGGTACAACTGCCAAACTTCTAGGATGGTTCTACTGCCAAATTTCTTCCTGGAGTCTGTTGTGACTTGTTGACACAATACCCAAAGCCATGGTTTGCTTAGACACAGTTGGTTGATTAAGCCACAATTAGCTGGATTTCCAAAGCACCAAACAAAATTTAGGAACCAAGATGCTTGGGTTCATTCAAGACGCCAAGCCAAAATTCAATGAAGCCATATTATGATCGAATGTGAATGTTCTGACCTAGGCTTCCTGAGAAAGCATAAATCACAATCTTAGTTCCTAAAACCCTCTTTTATTTATACGGCTGTGAATTATGGTCATTCACAGCTGACACAACTTCCCCAAGAGTCTATGAAGAATCTGACAAATGTCTGCTCGAGTTGCCAGTCTTTCAGGGTAATGTTGATAAGCCTTTTATCTCCTGTGAAATGCTGCCAGAGACCTAACTGCCAATTAGTTTTTGCAAGGCTAAGAGTCAAACAGAACTTCTCAGAGCTTGGACCAACCAGATGAACTAATTGCTTCCTGCAAAAGCTCACCTACCGTTTGCTCCCCTTTTATGTCTTATAGGAGGAGCCAATAATCTTCAAGCCTTACTCCCAAGCAGAGATGGGTTCCTACCAGTTCGCACCTATTCGGTAGAACCGGTTCGTCAAATCTACCGAACCGGTTAGAAGAGGTTCCAGCAGTGGACCCGGAAAG